TTCGACAAGTTTTTTACGAAATTGTGTAATGTTTAAAATGTTGTTTTAAATGCCTAAAATTTTAGAGTTTTCATTCAAATGTAGTGTCAAGCGTCGTAAAGTAGGAAATTTATTTAATATATTATATATTTATATATATATATATATATAAATATATATATATATATATATATAATATTATTTGTTATTATTTCTAGAAATTCTTGAAATTTCATTTTTATTGATTTTTTTATTTAATATTTTTTTATGCAAAAATATATATTTAACACGATAATTCCATTTTTTCTAAACTATATATAATTATTTTCTTCAATGTTTTATCTAAATCCATATAAATCATCCGCGTATTAATTTTTTTTTCACTTAAAATAAAAGGGTTTTTTTATTTAAAATAATATTTTTTTTTTTATTTATTATATTAATAAATTTATATCTATTTATATATATATATATATATATATATATCATTACAAATATATATTTATTTAAAAGACGTGTTTTTTTCATTTTGTTAAACTTTTATATTTTATCAAAATTAATGAAGATTTGGATTAACAAGTTATGATTAATCATTTGATTATAAGTGATTATATATATATTTATCCTGGGTTTTTAATATTTATATTTGATGGGTAAAAGAAATTTATAATTTCAATTATATACCCTCGTAATAATATGTGAAAACTATTTTTAACTTAATAGTTTAGTTCATATTGAAAAAATTTAAATTTCTATATTAAAAAAAATAAAATTTCTATATTAATCTATTTATCTTATATTTTTTTCTAAATCATATATTTATATATAATTTAGATTTTATCTATTTATCATATAAAATTATATTTATTCTTTAAAATTTTATATTTATATATCTTTGTTATCTATCTATCTAAAATATCTAATCTATTTAAGATTTAATTAATTTTTGTTTAAAAATTTTTTTTAAAAGGAATCTTTTCTTTTCAATTTTTTTTTTTTTTATTTTTTTTAAATAAAATTAATTTTTTATGATTTCTATCTAAATATTTTATTATATCATTATCTGATTTTTTTATTTTTTTTGTTTTATCGAATTATCTTTCTCAATTTCCTTACACATGTTCAATATATTTATATATATATATATATATATATATATTATTTATATATATATATATCAATTAAGATTGTTACTTGAATTTTTCTGATTTTTAAATTTTGACAATTAAATATTTATACCCAAAAAGTAGAGCAATATAATAAATTTTTTCAGGATAAAAAATTAATATCTATATAAAAATAATTTAATATTTTTCGATTATTAATGCACCTATTATTTAAAAATTGCGGGAAATAACAATTTTAATTTATTTAATTTTAAAATTAAAAAAAATTTTCAAATAAACAAAAATTTTTTTTTTAAAATAACATTTATTTTTAATCAAAATAAATTGAATTATATTATATTTTTTTAAATTTTTTTAAAATTTTATATATTTTAAATATTTAAAAGTTTAAGAAACTTTTGATTCAATTTGTATCATTTTTTTGAACTTATTTTAACAATATATATATATATATATATATATATATATATATATAATGTGGCATATATCATGGACATAATTTTCTGTTTTCTAAATTTGAGTAATTTTCTTTTATCCTCAGATAATCTTTTGTCCATCATCGAAAATAAAAATTTTATTCATCAATTTTAAAGATAAAACATAAAAAATATACAACTATCTATTTCATAACTGAAAATTTTCAGAATAATATATATAAATAAATATTTATGAACTATTATATATATATATATATATATATATATATATATTCTATATATAAATTCTCATTTAATATTGTTTATAATATTCTTTTTTTGATATTAGATTTTTAACGATAATCATAATAATATTTATTTTTCATAAAAACATTGTTTGAAAAAATTATATTTTTTGTTTCTATTTTCACTTTAAAGTAGTTCAAAACTTCTTTATAAACATTAATACTGAAAACATTCCAAAAACAAAAAGGATATATATATATATATATTATATAAATATATTTTGTTTGAAAAAACAAACCACTTTTGAATTATTTTATTTCCATTTTATATTTGAATGAACATGTTTTTCTTTGTTTTTTTTAAAAATCCTTTGTCTGTTAAATTATAAAGGCAACTCAAATTCATCAATTATATGAAATTCGGGAAATTTCCAAGATATATATTTATATATATATATATTATATATATATATATATATTATATTGATTGAAAATAAATCATAAATTTAATTTATTTATCATTGTTTAATTCATTCATCATTTTTTTCTTTATTTATCTTTTTTAACGTTTGATCAATTTAAATATCTATCATTATTATCTTCTTCTTCAATTTTTAATTTTTTCCATTAAAAAATTCTAATAATTCTTTCTCAAAATATATATTTGAAATAAATAAGTTAATATATTTTTTTTTGATTTTAAATATCAAAATCAATTTCTAATTTTTGAATTAGGCTCAACATTTAAATTTAAAAGATCTCATTTTTAAAATCTTGGTCTATCTAAATATATCAGAAATAATATTCTATATAAATATCTAAAAATTTGTCTTCTATTATTTTTTAAATCTATAGGAATAAAATGTCCAAATTAAATCTTTTCCTATCGATTTTTATGGAATTCGGAAACATTTTTCGCATATTTAATTTTATCCTTAAAATTATTTTGCATATATTTAAATTAGAACAGACCGAAAAATTGAATATTCGACCAATCAAAAATAAATTTAATAAAATATCCAATGAAGAATTATATTTTATTTAATGCATTTTTAAATTATTTTGTTAACATGCTAAAATTACATGCCACATTTAAAAATGTTACACAAATTCAAATAAACATTTTTTTTATATACACAAAAACATAATTTTATATTAATATAAACTTTCATTATTTTTTATGTTGTTAATATTTTTTTAAATAAATATTTTTATATATATATATATATATATATATATATATATATATATATATATATATAAATATAACTTTTATTGTTGTGTGTGTAAGTGTGTGTGGAATCCATGTTCAAATGTATAAATATTATTTATCAATAATAACTTATATATTGAATATAAAACCATTAAAAATGTAAAAACATTTTGGCCAAAAAAAATATTTATTTTGATTTGTATATATATAAATATATATATAAATATATAAATATATATATATATATATATTATTTCTTAATTATTTAAAATGTATTTTTTCATTCATCAAATTAAAAAAATTAAAAATATTTAAGTCTTTCCCTTCAAATGTACTAATTTTTGTTAAAATTATTAAAATTAATTCCATTTCATCCTCAAGCGAATTTTTGTTGTAAAAATAAAAAAAAAATTATTTGAACAATATATCTTTTCACATTTCAAAAAAATAATTTTTAGTTTTGTTTGATTAAGTTAATTTTTTATAAATATCTAAAGAATTTATTTATTTAATGAGATTTTTAACATATATATATATATATATATATATATATATATATATATATTATATATATATATATATATATAAAATGTTGCAAATAAAAAAAATTTGCAAAACATAGTTTTTGCTTTTTTCTTATTTTTATTTATTTATAGATATCTTATTGAATTTACCAAAATATTTTATAACATTATAAATAAATATATTTATGTATATAAAACATTATCATTTTTGTTTCATTGAATAAAAAGAATAAACCAGCTAAAACAATTTTTTTATTTTTTGAAGCAAAATGATAAATTATTTATGTAAACTAATATATTTATTTATATATTTTCATATGATAAATATATATATATATATATTATAATTATTTTCTATTCGTAACATATAAAATACATTTACATATTTAATAAAATAATGGAAGCCTTATTAAAAAAAAAAAGCAAAAAAAAAAAAACTTAATAATATCAACTATGAACATGGACACAATATCTTGACCGTGTTTTGAAAAAAAATGAAAACATTATATAAATACATACATGCAACAAACTATTTCTTATTTAACAGTTAAAATATTTCATCCTTGAAAATGGCTAAATGTATAGCCGAAAGCGCTCGGATAAAAAAGAACATTCGGACAGTTTTTATATAATTTATCATCTGAAAAAAAAAAAAATTATTAGAACGCATGAGAAATTGTATAAAAAAAAATAAAAGCACCTTGTCTGTCGTATTCAATGAAATGTATATATAAGGATTATATATATATATATATATATATATATATATATATATATATATATATATATATATATATAATAAATATATATAGATATTTGTATGAGCAAAAAAATTTATATATTGATAAAATAAATATAAAGTATGGTTATTTATTTTTAATTTTTTTCCTCCTAACAAATGGTCTAATAATAACTAAAGAGCAAATTGAAAACAGAAGATCAATATTCTTTGCAAAGATTTATTTATTTCCTTAAGCAAAGGTTTGCTCAATTATCTGTAAAATAAAAAAAAAAAATAAAAAAAAATTGTTAAAGAAAAACAAATAAAAAAAAAAAAAAGAAACTATTTATAAATGCAAATTGTTAATTTAGCGGGCCTGACTCCATTTATAAAATGGCGCCGTGATTTATTCTTTTTTATAAAAATCAGAGAAAACAAAGGATATAAAAATATTGAAAATATTGGGACTTTTTTGGAGGGGGAAATTGCAAAATAATTTTTGAACGGTATAAATCTGACGGTCAGACCAATTCTGGTTTCATTGGGTTTTCCATTCTCAAAAAGCATTAATTTAATTCCCATTTCTTTTGATGTCTTCTTTCATATTTTGATTTTAAAAGAAATATAAAAAACACACTCACACATAAACATCAACTAATATTTGAATATATATAATTTGGGAAAATTTTTTAAATTTTGTTTGATCCATGGAATTTAATAAAACATTTTTGATGCATTGAAAACGAAGGAGAATTCGGTTCATAAGAAAATAAAGATGTTTATCTGTCTTGTCTATCATCTATCTATCTATCTATTTATATATCTCATTCTCTGTTAAATATCTATCTATCATATCTATCTATCAATCTATCTATCTTTTTATCTAGGCTTTTCATTTATTTAAATGTTTATTTATCTATCTATCCATTTGGCTATCTATCATCTATCTATCTCAGATTGTTCATTTCTATTAATCTATCTATTTATCTATCTATCTATGAATCTATCTATATTAAAATGAAACATCATTTATCTCTATGTTTTAAATCTATCTATATATCTATCTATCTATCTATCTATCTCAGTCTGTTCATATCTATCAATCTTTCTATCTATCTATCTAACAATCTATCTATCTAAACACATTTCATTTTTCTATATTGTTTATCTATCTATCATCTTGAAATCTATCTATTATCTATCTATCTATCTATCTATCTATTAACAGCATTTTAACTATCTATCTCAGTCTGTTCATATACGTATCTACCTTTTTTTTTCTTTTTTTTTTCTTGAGTTTTAATATTTCTATCTATCTATCCATCTATCTTCATATCTATCTATCATCTATCTATCTCTGGCAGTCTTTTCATTATCTAATTATTTATATCTATCTATCTATCCATCTCTGTTGTTCGTCTATTTTATTTTTCTATCTAAAATCTATCCATCTATCTATATATCTATCTTATGTTCCTTCATTTCTATCTATCTTTCTATCTATCTATCATCTTCTATTTCCATCTCTACTCTGGAAGGGTCTATCTATCTTTCTTTCTTTCTTCCATCTATCTATCAATTTATCTATCCTTCTCTGTATTCTTTATCTATTTTCTATCTATCCGGCTATGGACCATCTATCTATCCAAGGAATCATGTTCATTCTATCCATGATCTATCTATCTATCTGGTCTATCTTTCTATTTTTCTAACCATCTATCTATCCTGTTCTGTTGTTCATCATCTATCTATCTATCTATCTATCTATCTATCTATCTATCTATCTATCCATCTATCTCTGTTGATTCGTCTATCCAAATCTTTCCAAACATTCCTTCTCTATCTATCTATCTATCTATCTATCTATCTATCTATGCTGTTCATTTATCTCTGCTGATTATCTTTCTATCTATTTATATCCATCTATCTATCTATTTATCATCTTTCTTTTTTTTCGTCTTTCTAATTCAATCTATCTGATCTATCTTCTCTATCTTCTATCCTTTTTTTTTTTTATCTATCTTCTATCTATCTATCTATCTATTTATCAATTCATCCATATTATTTATCTAATAATAATGTTCATTTATCTTTGATCAATGATCAATCTATTAATCTATCTATCCATCTTCTTTTTCTATCTATCTTTTCTATTTATGAATCTTTTACTTCATTTATTAAGTCTATCTATTATTTATCTATCTATCTATCTATCTATCATCTATCTTGTTGTTATTAATTATCCAGATCTATTTATCTATTTATCTATTATCTATCTATGATCTATATGTTCGTTTATTCTATTCATCTATCTATCTTTTAAAATATTATTCTATTATCTATCTATTGCAGTTTATTTCCTTTTTTTGTCTGTTCAGCTGTCTGTCTATTTATCTATTAAGTCCTTTGAAATAAAGAAAATGAGATATATGTGTGTGTGTTAAAATTTCAGATGTATTTATCTATAAAATGGTGATAAATTCTAGACAAAAAGTAAAATTTAAAATAAAAACATATCAAGAAAATTGATTAAAATTGTTAAAGTAAATCAGTAACAGTTCGATTTCATGACTGACGGAGATTTTTTCCCAGAGATGGGTTGTCATTTCATTCTGCGGTAGACCAGTTGCCACCCTTTTTTTTATATGTTTCAAAAAAACCTCCTGTTTAAATTTAAGTTTAAAAGAAGAACCTCATTCATACCTTTCCCAAGGCTAATAGCACGTAAGTTAATCCAATGGATTCGACTGAAAAAC